CGGTTCCTGCCCCACCCTCAGCCAGAGTGGGTTTGACCCTTCATCTCCTACTACTTTAACCACCAAGCCTGGTGTAGGCATTGCCCAGAGCACTTTCCAGCCCTCTTTTTGAAGCTGGACAGCCAAGGAGGGGATGGAAGGGGGGGGAGAGACACTGCCCTGGAAGGGAGGAGCCCTGAGAACCTAAGCAGGCTGATAATATCCAACTACTTGCTTTCCATTTTATGCAATGCATATTAAGTATAAGGTGCAAAGAGACTGTTAAAGGCAGGGCTCCTCCCTTCCGGGGCAGTATTACTTTCATTAACCCAAACTCCCTCTGGCTTGCTCTTTTCCCTTGGCAGCCCAGTGGCCTTGTTTCTAGGAGTGCTGGAAAGTGGCTCTGGCCAGTGCCTGGTAGATAGAGCACTTTGTTAAGAAGCAGGAGATAGAGGTTCAAGCCCCTCGTTGAGCTAAAAGGAGTGAGGGTACTGGCCTTGCTCCTACTCCAGCATCACTCATTGGTCCTGGTTTCTTTTCATTTGAAAACTTGGTGTGCCTAGGTGATTTTAATCTGCACAGTGTTAGTCCAGCCTTCAGAGGATGCCTGAAAAGGAGGCACAGGGTGAACATAGCTTTGCAGCTGCAAATACAATCTAAGCTTGGTATACCTGCCAAACGCTCTGCTTACATGGCCATGTACATGCCACTGATGTGGCTCTTAGTGTTCAGGGCACCTTTCCCAAATAAATCTAGCTCTGATTTTTAAGCATAAGAGAGACACTGGTGTGGCTTTGGGGAAGAGCAAGGTAATGGCCATGTTAAAATGTGTATATTATCATGCATTCAGTAAATGCTGAAATTTAAGTGGGGCTTCCTCCAGGGCTATGTGCTTGGATAAGCTGCTGCCAGCATCCTCCTGGGAGTGCGGAGCCAAGTGCAATGGCAATGCAGGGGGGGAGCAGATTGAAGCCCCCACAGTGAGGGAGGGAGTGGGGCAGGGTTGGCGGCTGGAGCTAGGGGCGGTGCATAGGGCCCGGAGCTGTCCAGGGAGCAGGACAGACCCTCCGTGGCTATCATTTTCCTTGGCAGCTGGCTGTTTTTTCCCCTTCAAACTGATGATCACAGACAGAGATTGAGACATGATGCCTCTTGCAGGGGGTGGGGAACTTCCTTCCCTAGAAAGGTCTTCCTTCTGTAGGGGAAAAGTAATGCCTGATTTTTGAATGTAGCTTTTGTGGCACTGGTCCCCAGGGTGATAGCCTCCAAAGGGAAGTTAAGGGTTTGCAGAACCTCAGGTTTATTTGGGTGCCAGAGTCTTCCTCTGCAGATATGACTGTAAGCCTGAGGATGGCTGACTTGCAACTAGAATAGTCTAAGTGTGATGAGATCAAACGTGAAGCCGTTTTGTGTATGCAGCATGGCAATAAATCAGGTTGTTAGAGATGCTTGCTTGGGACGTGATTTTTATCTGGTTGTGAAAAGCATCTGACATGGAAAATGAGATGCCTCCAACTTCCCGGGGTTTGTCATTTTAAGTTGGTTTTGCTTGGACAGTGAAAACAGTTGAACTGACTAGTCATCATCCAGATAATTTCATATTCTGGTTCACTTGTTGGACTAATGATATACTTATGTCTTGGTTTTATAAGCTGTAGATGAATGCCCATAAATCCTGTCTAGTTTTCATCGTGTTCCCCAAAGTAAATGGGGCTTTAAAAGCATGTGAACACAATCCAATTGCTTTCACTTGCTTTTGCCTGATAGTCTTGGGGGCACGGCATTTGGGGGACACAGCATTGGGGAGAATAGGTTTTGTATGAGAAGAGGTGGCGATGTAGCCCTGTCCTAGAATCTGTGAAACTAAATTGAGATGAAATATTGTGCAAGGCTTCATATAGTTTCCCTGTTGTTATTTAATTTATTTAATCCTTAAGTAACTAGTGGTAGACTAGCATAGCATTTCTGTAGACTAACTGGTTCAGAGGGGCATGAACTTTGGTAGCAGCTTACTTTATCGGGTAACATCAGATGAAGTAGTTTGTTGCCTATGAAAGCTCACACCTCTTTGGCCCAGTTAGTCTAAAGTCAGTTAGAAGGTAGGGCAGGGTGGCATCTCAGGGCCTTGCCGCACGCTCAGGTTAAAGCTGCATAGGAACCAGCTAAAGAGTTGTTACACATTTTCAAGCACTAACTTTTTGTAGGTTGTTTACTCTTGGTAGAGCTTGATAGTCATTTGTATGGTGATAATTATTTGGCAGGCATGACCAGTCCAAATGTATTGCATGAGTAACCAGTTAATTGTATAAAGTATGTAATGTGTAGCAGGGGGCCGGTGAGAGCTAATACAGCTCACCACCTCTACGCTTGGGTTAGAATATTAATATGCTACAGAGCACTTTGTTTTGTGGTTTTCTCAAGCATGTGTGTGATCATGCATGGCATGTGCATTTCCTGTGTTTTCCTGCACCATCCCTCTTAAGAAATCTTCGGGTGTGAAGACATATGACATAACTGTGACATATGACATAACTGTTTCTCCACAAATCTGACCGTTGTGGCCATGCATAAGCTGCTGAATTTGCACCACTTCAGGTCAGATCTGTTTACTCACTTCCTTACACCTCCTGTGCAGTTCTGCTTACAGTTGTCTGAGCCTTTACCTAGTCCTTTTATGCCAGCGTCAGATGGGTGTGAAAATCTTCCCACATTGGGTTGGACCCGATGGTCCCTTCCAGCCCCTAGCAATCTATGAATTGCATCAGAATGGCTCAGGCAGTGTTGTAGGCACTTTGCACTGGCGGATGTGACTGCACAAAGTGTAGGCAACAGTGTAATGGGCTCACTGTGTCTGTGCAGATACTGCTGTGTTGGCTGCAGGGTGTGCTATGGGGAGCATTTCTAAGGCCTGATGCTTGCTTTTGATGCCTCTTTGTGGTGATGAATTATTTAATGAACACATCTGGGCTGAACATTTAGCTCACTGCCTTCGATCTCTGTTCATCCCACAACTGGAGATCTGTGTTGGGCACAGCTCCTGTTCTCCCTGCACTGCATGCCTCAAGACGGGGGAGTAGGCAGCCCTGGGCTGGCTGCTCCCATGTCTCCTTGTGCCTCGGCACAGGGGCTGCACCACAGAGACCCCCATGCTGAGGTACATTGTGCCCCGGCCAGCCAGGGAGCAGCATGTGGAGATGGGGGACTGCCCTGCTGGCTGGGGCACAGAATGCCTCGAGATGGGGGCAGCAGGCAGTCCTGGGCTGGTTGTTCTCCTGCGCCCCAGCCAGCTGCTCCGCAGCTGCCTGGGCACAGTGTGCCTGAGCACGGGGGTTCCACATGCCTCGGTGCAGGGACTCTGCACCACTTTTTTTCCAGGGTTTTTTTGCTACTGGGAAATCCCGGTAACATATTTTCCCATGGCACTGCATCTTCGCAGTACTGCACACTGATTAACATACAACTCATGCGGTTTGTGGCACTGCAAAGAATTTTGCAGTGTCACAAACCATTCATGCCTGCACATCTGGATCCAGCCATAGAGTTTGGGGATCCTACTGAAAGCCATCTTAAAAACATGTCATGGCTACTAAGTGCCATATCTGCCTGACCTCCCCTCGCAAATGCCTACCTGCCATGTTATGTGCAACAGAGCTAAAATAGCTCATCTCTCCCTCTCCCGAAGGGTTTTCCTGATATCTCCTTTCTCCATGCTTAGCATCACCATTTTCCTTGTCTCTCAGACCAATAATCTCTGTGGCCTTTTCACCTTGGACTTCTCAGTACATCCCCATGTCAGTGTCTGCCTACGTCCTTGCACACTTTCTGCCTAACACCTCTGAAGATGCAGACTTTCCTGTCCATCCCCACAGTCAAAATGTGCCCATATAAGCCCTTACCTCTTGTTTCTGTTACTGCAACTTATTTTTTGCAGATCCTGGCAATGCATTTTCACGTTCCAGAAAACTGATACATTACTTTGACTACAGTATCCTCTCTCTCTGCTTCTCTCTGGCTCAGCTTTCTCTATTGCTTCAACTCCAACTCTAACCTGGTCTTTCTGCTTTCAGAATTCACCTTGCTTGTCCTCTTGTTCAGTATCGAGAGGTCAACTCCTGCCTTTGGCCAGTGAGGCTCGTCTCCATCGTCCCTCGGTTAGATTTTCAAACAAGCCAGTTTCACGCTTTCTCTCACACTACCCATCACATTTCAGGGTTACTCCCAGGAAACATCCATCTGCAAACTCTTGTTGTCCTATGATGCTTACAGAAAGTTTGTCAACAGGTAGCTCCCTGATGTACCCTAACTGCTTCTTTTCATGCTGACCGATGCTGTCTCAGTTTCCTTGTACTTCCCCTTGTCAATCTGTTTGCTGCCTTGCCTCTAATTAAGCTGGAAGCTGTTTCAGATGGGGACGCTGGTTATTCTGTGCTTGCAGGGACTAGCAGGTTGGGGTCCTGGTTCTGGGAATTTTATGTAGTGTGGCAATACACACAGTTCATTAAAAAGGTAAAACTTTAATTTTGGGATAAATAGTTTAAGCCAGCTTGTGGGGTCAGAAAAAGGAATATGAGGAGCAAGCCTTTAAAATTGCAAAACTCAAGTGATTTGAGAATTACTATTTGTTTGAAAAGTTTCAGTAGAACATATGAAGTGTGCTAACGAAGTAACCAGACCAGGTTCTTTGGGTAAATCTGGTATATTTTATTAGACTAACTCAAAATAACCATAATTTTCTGGCTCTTGCCAAAAGGTTAACCACCACCTAGCCTTAACATTTGGGTCTGAAGTAGTATGCCTTGCTGTTACCGAAACACATGGAAAGAAAGAAAAGGTTAATAAGGCGGCCTGGCTGTTAGCAAAATTTAACTGCAGCCCAAGTGTCAAAGCATAAAGGGACCTGGCTGAAAGGTGTAGCTGTTTTTTTGCTGAAAACTGAAGTCTTGTTTGAATGAATACAGCTTTGTTCATTTGAAGTACACATTGCCCAATACTAAATCTCTGCTTTGGTTTCTGTCCTACAGGGAACACAGTGAGTAACCTGATTTTCATTCTACCTCCAATCTATGGTGCGATTCAGTCCTATAAAGATGGCCTTGAAAAACGGTATTTAGCTGCATATTTGAGTCTCACAGGTATGTGTAAAATTTGATTTGCACTTTAATTATGCAGGGACTTCAGATGAGGTCTTTTTTAGAGACAATCAGAGGGTTTTCTGTGTTAGAACTGTGGCTGAAGTTATAATTTTTTAGCTTGTTAGCGTTAATTGGAAGGATTGATATCTAGAGTTAGAATTCACCAAATAACTTTCTGATGTAATAAATGATCTTCTCTGGCCATGTGTCCTGTTCCCCCGCACGTATTTTTGCACACTGCTTTCTTTTATGCTGACTTACAGAAGCTCTCTTGTGTGGTCTGTCCCTGCCAAACAGGCTAGCACTCACTTAGTATGTTTAATTCATAATGCTTATAAAAACACAAATAACACAAGTGGGTGAGGAATTGGATGAGCACAGGCCTGTTGGTTGCAAGTTACTTTTTAATTACTCTTTGACTTTTATATTAGCACAGCCACTTAATCATAGCCATATTTGAGGCATTTGTTCCATAGCTGGAGGGCCTCTCCTCTTCCCAGGGACTCTGGTGTGCTGATTTACAGGCTGGTTCCTAAGGAGCCTCAGATAATTATACTGCTAAAACTATGGTGAGGGAACCCCTCCCTTCCACCCCTGGGGAGCTGATAATGTTACTATCAGTCAAAACTCTTCCTTACCAGCAAAAAGAGAGTGAATTTCCAGATGGTCTTAAGTTTTAGTCTTCTGGTATATAGGATTGGGTCTTTGTCCACACTGTCCTTTCCCTTTCCTTTCTCTCTGTCTGCCATTGGTAGAAAAAGTGGTGCTGGTATGGGGATTATTAAGGCAGTGCTAACTTATTTAGATTTAAGTAGATACTATAAAAAAAAAAGCTTGTATCTGTATGCATGGAGCAGCCTTAACATCACTTAAATACTAAAATATGGAGTACGTTATATGGAGACCTAATGTTAGGCCTTGTCTACATTCACTGGACTGTGTTTCCAGACATCTTGACTGCATACACAAACACAAGGACCCATGATCTGATCCCAGTTGTCTTTCCTGCCGAAGTGCAGGGGGGCTGGACCCAATGATCTTGTGAGGTCCCTTCCAGCCCCTAATATCTATGAATCCATGTACTTCTGATGGCTCTGTGCAGCTCCAGTGAAACAGCTGTGTCAGCTGAATGCGAAGGCACAGGCTGCTGAAGCAGCTGCTAACAACAGCATACAGCACTGTAGTGTCCACATACTCCTTCTACTGGCTGCAGTTTTGTGGTGGGGCTCTGAGTGGAGATGCACTGAGTTTTGTTGGCAGAACATTTGTAGAGTAGACGAGACCACGGTAGCACTGGTGGGTGGGAAAGACTTGCTATAATTAACAAACAGAGAGTTTGTATGCATCAGAGCCGTCAACTCAGTTTTAACAAGCTGCCTGGAAAATTTTTTAAGTAGGTTTTACAAAGGCTAGCTGGGGATAGAGTAAAGGATGCACAGCTCACGTTTAAAGAGGCATGTCTAAGGATGCATTGAAATGGACTTTTGACATTTGGATTTTGGAGAAGACTATCTTGAGTGAGAAGATCTTTCATCCTTAAGGATCACTAAATGTGTAAAATAAACAGGGATAAAAACTGTTTTGACTTCTCCATCAGTTGGCCTGAAAAAGTTGCAGCCCTCAGAGTGCAGGCAACCCACACTTAGCGCTCTTAATTGGTTCCTGAAAAACTGTGTCTTAAGTGAAACCAAAAGTATTTCACGATCCAAGATGGTGACCGCAAGTGTTTTTAATGACCCAAGATGGTGACTGTGAGCATTATAATGAAACTTGCTAAGTGAAATCAAGTATCAATTTAAAATGAGCGTTATAGCAAAATAGTGCTAAGTGGAACAATGTTAAGCAGCTGTTGCCTGTATGCACTTTGCAGCAGTCTGACTAGGAGAAAAGAGCATTGAAGTAAGGATTCCCAAGTGCTTGCATTTGATTTCAACTGATATAGCACTTAGACATTGGCCTGCGTGATTAGCCATGGAGATGGGTGCAAGTGAGCATGACTTGTACCATTGTCTTGGCATTGTGTGCAGTCTTTTTTGGGGGGTGGGGGGGAGGGTGTTGCAGGTGAGAGGGGGGCTTAATAAACTCTTGGAAATCTTTGGCCCTGAGCTGCGGTTGAGGGCTTGGTAGGGCAGGGGAGAGTGAGTCGATTATGCAGAAAGCCCAAAACAACATTCCTGATGCATGAGCTGGTGCATTAATATTTGTGAATACCAACTCTGCTGCCAATAATACTTTAAATGTCAATTTTGATTGTTTAACTGTTTATCAAAGCACTTCAAGAATGACAAGAGGTACCATGGTGGAGATCTATGTCATGAAGTGTTTTGTGTTCACAGCAGAGTGACTTAGGATGATCAGTGCTAGCCTAGAAATCATACTGCAAAGCCATGCCCAAGTTCATCTGTCCCTGGTGACACCGCACTTGGTTGTGTGTTGCTGGAACATCTCTGGGTCTTTGTGTTTCAATATATTGAAGCACTCTGGTTCTTTTTCAGGGAACTGTGGAATTTCTGTCTTTTTGGGCTTGTGAAGGAAGTGTAGGGCAGGCTATCAGCATTGGAGTGGTCTAGCCTGTGTCCTCCACTGCAAAGTCACAGGTGTTAAAGTGTAATCCTTGCTGTGACTTTAGCCTGTGACCAAGGACAAACAAACTAGTCTGGTTTGAAAGTGCCACTGAACTCTGATAAAAAGTTTCTCTGTGTGGAGGGAAGCTAAATTCACAGCTAATGCCCTTGGCTAGCATTGCAATGAAGATAGAGGCCAAGCACAGACATCTCTTTTTTAACAGTAGAAGTGATTGGAAACCAGTCTGTAGAACAGAGCATAAGGTTGTCGCACAAAACCAACCAGTCCATACCCATAACAGAACAGGAGTTTGGTGCACATAGATTGGTTTAAAAATGGCAGAATTGGGTCTAAGATTTACCCCCACCTGCCCCATCAAACGGTGAACGTGTGTTCTGTTCTCTACCCATCTAAACTACATCATTTACAGAAAACCACGTAACTTAGATCGATTCCACCTCCAGCTTTGTGAATGTCTGTACCTAGCCAGTGTGTCTACGGGCACTAGAGGTTGCAGAGAACTACCTGGGGGGGACAGAGAACTGACTTGATTGTCCTGAAAGGCACTCAGCTGGGAAAAATTACAGCGTGGGCTGGTGAATTAAGAGTGGGAGTGGAAGGCAGGGACTCATGACTTCAGTCTGGGCTCTGCTACTAACTGACCTTGAGCAGGTATTTAACTTATGGCTGCAAAACTGGGTCCTTGATGCCCTGAGAGCCAGACCCTTGGTGACTTACTGGACACCCAGATTACAGTTTGCTCCTGACATTGTTGGTCTGTCTTGTCTAATTTATGGAACGGGAAAATATTGTTAATGAACAGTTTACATTGCTGCTGTTTGTACAGTTGTTTGAACATATTAAGGCTTAGAGGGACTAAATACTTACAGAGATGATGGGGAAAACAGCAGCAGGACAGTGCCTCTGTTAACATTCAACTTGCTCCATTATAGAATAAAACTGGTGACTGAAAAATTAAACTGCTACTGTGTGCCACTGTGGGAGACCAGGCACTAGTTAAGATGGTCCCCAGCATGTACCCTCTTACATTCTTATTGATTTTAAAGCTAGCAGAAAAGTGCCAAGAACTCTGCTACCTTGTGCAAGCCCCTGGCTGAAAGGTAAAGAAGCTGAAGTGGAGATGTGGTAACCATACAGAAAGTCCTTCACTTAAGGAAATGCCAGAGGGAATGCTTTTGCTTGCGACAGCTTTTATTTATTAACAGGTTTTGGTCTACTTACAGTCACTTCGTCACAAATGAGTAAACACAGATTTAGTCCCAACCTGTTCAGGGATTTCGCATCAGGTACCAGACTGCATTAAAAGCTTCCTAGCTGAGCTTCCTCGCTCGATGAATCCGATTGCCTTTTTGTTAATGTTCCAAAAGCAGCTCTGCTGTTTCTGCTGCTTTCCAGTTAAGACGAGAACATTTTGGTTTAGTTTCAGCGAATGCAGCTCAAAGACAAACATTTAAAGGGCTTTAAGCTAAAATACTGAGAACAACAACTCTGGTACCAATCCTTCTCCATAGAAATTGTCCTAATGCAATCAGCCAGTTTCCCAGGATATGGTATTAAATCTAACTTGCAAGCATTCCGCTGGTTTGGCGTTTATCTCTCTGTGTTCTTCCATATTGTTGTGTTCAAAAAAGCACATGCAGTTTGCTGCCCATTGCCCCAAGATTTTTATAGCTGACACCTACTTCCTCTGTAAATAAAATGCATTTTGAATTTTGGAAGTGCATTGTGAATTTTGCATGTGGTAGCAAAGAACCAGCTATTAAATAAACGACTTGTTCAGATTAGATACAGAGATTGCAGAGCTGCAGTTTTTAATCAAGTTTCTCCAGATCCAGCATACTGTTCTAAGGCTTCATTTCCTCTCCCACTCAGGTCAAAAGGGCATTTTGTCGCTAGCTGAGTAAGAAGAAATATGTTTTATTATCCAAGTATATGATAGTTATATTATACAATGTACTGTATTGGCAATCTTCAAAAAGTGTCTTGACACCCACCTTGCTGGGGTCATCTGACCCCAGCAGTCTTTCCTGCCCAAGTGGGATGATCTGTAAGGTCCCTTCCAGTCCCTAACATCTATGGAAGTATATTATTCAATAAAGTAATACATTTCCCAGAGTTATCTGGAATATTTATTGCTGAGGAATGACTAATTTGTCTGATGAAGCAGGTAGACAAAATTTGGTGCGTGACTACTATATGACTTACTGTTTCAGTGCTTTGTTAGAATTAGACTCAGTCCCACATAATTCTTAGGTTTGGGATCATATCTTTCATACCATATTTCTCATTCTAGAAGGAAGTCTATCAGACTTCTTGTATCAAACATTTACTTGGTTGGAACTTCAGCTAACCTCTTCTTTATGTCCTCCAAGTGTATCGCTGTGATTGTCAGTTCTGCGCTCTCTTCTCAGACT